TTTTCATACAGCTCAATCGATGTGCGATCATTATTTTATGCATAATTCTACTGTTAGTACTTTTGTTCTTGTATTTCTTACCTACTGCTGCATCTTGCTACATTCCTTCGCGCGCGACGCCCCTCTCACCGCGACGCGACCGTTTCGTTCCTAATGCACCACACCCGGAGGCACCCCAATTATTCGTGAACCCTGTTGTGTCCGTTTGTCCCAAGCACAAACGCTGGTCCAAAAACTGTTCCCATTCTTAGATTTATCCTCCATCCGTTCTCAACCTCCTGTAGCGTCATTGGGTGCTCTGAAGCCCAAAGTGTATGTTTTTTGGCTCTTATGGATGTAGATCTGGTTGAAAACGTTTCGACGTGAAACTTTGCTTTGCTGCCTTCATATTATGTTTGTATAAAGACTTTGACGTCAATGATCGATCTATAAACGTGAGTTTATACATGAAAATCTTATTATGATAGATACTCACATAGGTGGCTCCAGGGTAACCTCCATCAATGGTGTAAATTCTGTAAGCCGGATGATTGAAGTCAAATGTTGTGATAGATGGAGTAATCCAGTTGAAGTGAAATGGTCGCATGTTGTCATCTGGGTCATAATAAACCTACAAAAACAAATTTTTGACGAGTAGTTGGTGTTGTTTGCTTATCTATCAACAAACAGCTTGGAAAATCGGTGGCACAACGTACATATTTGGAGCAGTGGGCAATTCAAATAACAAACAATAATAAAGGATTTGCTAGACCCAAAGAACATTAAAAGTAGGACCTCAACAGGTAAAGGAACATGCCCTTAACGGACTCACCTGGAAGTGATCATTGTGAGTATGTCCATAAAATTGCTGAGCGATTGTATTTTCAAACCTGTAAATTTTCATTTCGCTGGGAAGCAACCAGATCGGTGCAGTTATCACTTCGAAGTACACAAATGTCATGAGTGCTACTTTACGGCTTCTCTAGGTTACTCCTCACGCATCGCACTATCACCTAGGCACCTTCTGTGTCTTCATATCTTTATTTGATGTTTTCACTGCTGCAATGCCACGAGAACATTTGAAATTTTTGAGAGTTCGCAGCTAGTGCAAGACCCCGAGATGGAAAAGGTTTTATCCATTATGATGCACCTTCCAATCGCTAAAATTCATGATCCTATGCCTTCCAAGGAGAGTTCCTTACCTTTTCACAATCTCAAAAAAGTTGTACGACCATCCTTTCAGGCAGTAATCGTCACCAGGAGGTATATGAGAGATAATGTGGACCTGAAGTGAGAATTAAAGAGCAGATACGTTAAACGACGCTGGTTCTGTACCGGTTTGAGTAAGAATACAAAATTGAAACTCCGAAAAAATCAAAGAATTCCCTACCTTATCTCCCTTAGCTTCTGAATCGACGAGCTCATCTATCAGCCACTCTAGTGTAGCATCGGGATCTACTTGATTAATGTAGAGGTAGCTAGAAAGGGTGAACATAAGCTTCTGAGAATTAGTTAAAGGAGGAATTTGTTTCTCTCTCCGGAAATAATACTCACAAATTGAATTCCGAACAGTAGACCGTGTTGATAGAGATCAATTTCAAGCCCGGTTTGGGGTACACGGCGTAGCTGGCCCGGCTGCAATCAGCATTTAGTAAATATGAAAAAGGAAAAGAGGGAAGAAATGTATGCGTGCTCACTATTGGACATCAGCCAAAGAGGATTGAGGTAGCCAATTGGACCACATCTCCTTCATGAGGCTGTATAACCATTGTGGTCCTCGTTGATCGTATTCCGGCATTGTATGTGGTGCCATTCTGAAAATACGAGACCTACTCTACTAGTATACTTACCGGATTTATACCAGTTCAGACTTATATGATAATGGGTGGGTTTTCCATGGCCCATCGAAATAATTAGGCAAAAAGGTAAAACGAGCGATCTGCCCCAAAAATTTCCAGGCAAGGCTTCAAAAACTCACGCATCTTGTGGCACTCCTTCATGGTTCCCTATGGATACGTAGACAGGAGTTTTTGGAAAGTACTTCAGCAGTAGAGCCGTCAAATTACGAATGTTTGCTCGCGTCAAGTCTTGCGTATAATCCCAGGAATCATGGGCTTCAAAGTCCCCAGTTATCATTATGTAGTCCAACTGAAAACATCATTAGCAATTCATCATTACAGTCACTTATCATTTGTTACCGATAATAATTTCTCAGCAAAAATTTGCTGTAATTAGCTCTGAAGCGGCTATGTTACTTGGATAGTTTTCCGGGTGGCGTGGAAGTGGAGTTGTCAGGAATTCGGATGCTAGATTAGTAATATTCAAAAGTCATGAAGGTCATCTAGGCCATCTCTGTCTTAGTAGTTTTTTAAGAAATTGTTCTTCCCAGCGGGGGCAGATAATTTTTTCATAACAGTGCCCCATTTTTTCTTTTGACTTTCCTGGCGTCTCTCATTTTTTCCTTTTCTTCATTTTTATCTTCATTTATTACAGTGTTTAGCCTAGTCAAGTTTTTCGATAATCTCCATTTTCTTCTGATCAAGTTTTTTTCCTAGCCGTTTAATATTCATTAATTTTACAGTTTTGGTATTTATTCAGTTATAAGATTATAGATCATGCTAATTTTATTTTTAACTTATTCACCACCTTTCTATTAATTTGCTTGTTGCTCACTAATCTCAACACATTGATGAGCCTCTGGGGTTAGTGAGTGACGAAGTGATTCGCTTGGGCAGAGACGAATCGAATCTTTTTTATGTTTATGAATGATCAATTTGTTAACACTAACTCTTTGTTTTTGTTTATTACATGTGCACAGCTTATCATTTCTACGATCTCTCATTTTTGTATACTGGTCAGCGCAGTTCCTAACGACCTTCATTCATCAAGTCGAGCACAATATCAGCTGTACAGAGCGGTACCAATAAAACAAGTAAATTCTACCCGGTAAGTGTTTATTTGCTAGAAGAAGCGCATCCTGAACTACTTGGACCTTTGGTAATGGTCAGAAAAACTGAAAAAAAAAACCATTCTTGCTGATGTAAAATCCATCTCCTCATCTTTTATATGCTGGGAACTCGAAGGAATAGAATTTCAATTGAGAAAAATACTTACGTCTTTGTGCGCTTTGCTTATGTGACTGAGAGCGGCGTCAAATGTTTGGTACGGTAGATCGCACGAGTAAGGCATTCCCCACGGCCCAGAAGGGACATAGATAGGCTCTGAAATTCGAGTATGTTCGTGCATTGAATTATTATACTATCTACGCAGATGGACTGCAAGAGAGCACA